ACAAGCGGTACGCTGTCTGTACCGAGGCCGCCACTGGTACCCCCCTGTCCACGTTCCCACGGGACCCGGTGTCCGGTCTTTTCACACTGGACACGGTGACCCCCCCGGCTGGGACCCCCCCTCAGGTGACTGCGTCTCCCCCGGTTGTTGCTGCCTGCTCCTGTCGGTCTCTCACTCACCCGACTCTTCTCTGGCACCACCGCCTAGGTCACCCTGCGCTCCCACGTCTGCGTCACATGTCACATCATAGTCTCATCCTAGGCCTCCAAGGGTCGTTCCCCGAGTTTCCCTCCTCCCCAGCCCCACCTTGCACGCCCTGTGTCGAGGGCCGGCTCCGCCGTGCCCCTCACTCTTCCTCGTTTCCCCCTACTGCAGCACCGCTACAGACTCTGCACATGGACGTCTGGGGCCCCACCCCCGTCCATGGGCCGCGTCAAGAGCGCTACTTCCTAGTGCTTGTCGACGACTACACGCGCTACACCACTGTGTTCCCCCTAGAGCGGAAGGCCGACATGCCTGCCGTTCTTATCCCGTGGCTTGTCTCTGCGCGTGTCCACCGCGGTCTCCCTATCTTGCGTCTCCACTCCGACCGTGGTGGCGAGTTTGCCTCTGGTGTCCTTGGTCGTTTCTGTCGTGCGGAGGGCATCACCCAGTCGTTCACCTTGCCGGACTCCCCGCAGCAGAATGGGGTCGCTGAGCGATGCATCGGTTTGGTCATGAAGGTGGCTCACACCTCCATGATCCATGCCGGGGCACCCCATTTTCTGTGGTCGTTCGCCGTTCGCTACGCCGCTCACCAGCTTAACCTGTGGCCGCATCCCCAGCAGCCTCAGGTTTCACCAACCCTCCTCTGGTCTGGTTCACCTGGTGACGCGTCTGCGTTCCACGTCTGGGGCTGCCTTGCTCACGTTCGTGCCTCTGGCACGGACAAGCTTACTGCCCGCACCCTTCCGTGTGTCTTCCTCGGCTTCCCCCTTGACGCGTCTGACTGGCACTTCTACCACCTGCCGTCTCACCGGTTCTTTCACTCCCGTGACGTCACCTTTGACGAGTCCGTCTCCTTCTTCCGCCGCTTCCCCCACCGAGGTCCCCCGGTTACCCCCCCCCCTGTTCCTGGTCACCCCTTCCCCAGTCGTCGCCGCCCCTCCTCCTCCCCCTCCCCGTCCAACCCCCGCTGGTGTGTCCCACGTCGCCCCACTTACATCGGTTGTCCCGGTTGAGGGGTCTGCTAACTTTGGTGGTCCTGCTGCGCAGTCCTTGCCGCTTGCCCCTTCACAGGTGTCTCCTCCTCCGCCGCCACCGCTGTCGCAGCCGTCGTCACCGCCGCCGCAGCCGTCATTGTAGCCGTCGCCGCAGCAGTTCGTTGCGTGTGGGGGTGCTGGAGTTGGGGTGGGTACTAGTCCTGGGACTCCTGTCGTGGCTTGTCCCGGCGGGCCTGGGGGTGGTACCGGTGCTCGAGGGGTTCTGAGCTCTGGGGGTGTTTCTTCTAGGGGTGCTGGCGTGGAGTGTTCTGGAGGTAGCCGCCAGGCAGCTTGCGGTCCAAGTGTTGGTGTCACACCGCCGCCGCAGCAGTCCCCCCCGGTGTCCGCTCTTCGCCTGCTCGGCCTTCCGTCCCCTGACCCCGTGCCTGTGCCTCCTCCTCTTCCTCCTCCTGTCTACGGCCATGTGTTCCCTCCTCCGGACTCGTCTCTGGCCCGTTTCCCCCCTCGTTCCCCTCTTGTGTCCCCTCCTCTGTCCCCTGACCCGACTCCTCCGTCTCACGTCTGGTCTCGCCGTCCCTCCCGTGCTCGACCTGTCTCCTCTGTCTCGCGCTCTCACCCTAAATTGCTTCGTTCCCACGCGTCTCGTCCTCCCCTTCTCCCGTCGCCCCCTCCATCCTCCCTTGTCGTTGCTCCCCCCCCTCTGTCTGACTACTTGCGTGCCGCTCATCCTCTTGTTCCTCGGGTCCTTGCCTCTCTCGTTACTAACCCGTCTAATCTGGTTTCGAGCCTTGACGCCCTTGTCGCTGCGGTCGACGACTTCGCCTCTACCCGCTGCCTTGACTACGCCACCGCTCTGGTCTCTGACCCTGCCTGTCCTCCGTCTGTCGGGGGTGCTCCTGCCCTCGGCAGTGACGTCCTGGAGGACCGCCAGTACGAGCTTGCTTTCCTGTTCGAGGCTGCTCCCCATCTCCGCTCTATGCTTCTAGTCTCTGAGGGTGACCCCGAGGCTTCGACATCCCGACCCCTAGCACTTACGCTGAGGCGGTCTCGGGACCCTGGTTCTCTCAGTGGATAGCTGTCATGGAGCAGGAGATGGCATCTTGGAGATCCACCGGCACCTACGTCGACGCAGTTCCCCCACCTGGGGTGAACGTAGTCGATGGCCGCTGGCTCTTCAAAGTGAAGCGCCCTCCTGGAGAGCCGCCTGTGTTCAAGGCGCGCTACGTGGCTAGAGGTTTCAGTCAGCGTGAGGGGGTGGACTTCTTCCAGACCTTCGCTCCGACCCCGAAGATGACTACTCTTCGGGTGCCGCTGCACGTAGCAGCTCAACGTGACTATGAGCTTCACTCCCTCGACTTCTCCACTGCGTTTCTTCAGGGCAGCCTACACGAGCAGGTCTACCTGTGCCGCCCTCAGGGCTTCACTGGTACCTTCCCTCCTGGGACCCAGTGGCTCATGCGGCGCCCCGTCTACGGCCTGCGGCGGGCTCCCCGTGAGTGGCACGACACGCTGCGTGCTACGCTTGCTGACCTGCAGTTCTTTCCGTCCTCTTCAGACCCCTCGTTCTTCGTTCGTGGTGGTCAGACTCCGTTCTACATCCTTGTTTACGTAGACGACCTGGTCTTCGCCACAGTAGACAGGGACGCACTGGCCTCCGTAAAGGCAGAGCTGCTGAAGAGACACACTTGCACTGACCTTGGAAAACTGCGCCACTACCTTGGCTTGCAGATCTCCAGGGACAGAGCAGCGCGCACCATCACTTTGACTCAGTCACACTTGGTGCGCCAGGTCCTTCATAGGTTCGGCCTTCAGTTCTCCTCCGCACAGCCCACTCCTCTGCCTCTAGGCCACAGGCTCTCCGCTCCAGTTCCTGAGGAGTCAGCAAAGCCCAGTAGTCCTTACGCAGAGCTGGTGGGTTGCCTCATGTACCTGATGACTTGCACTCGCCGAGATCTCACATACCCTCTCAGCATCCTGGCTCGCTTTGTGGCTACAGGCAGACACGGACCTCAGCACTGGTCTGCCGCTAAGAGGGTTTTGCGTTATCTTGCAAGTACATCTGGCATTGGGTTAGTGCTAGGAGGACGCAGGCCAGTGGTCCTTACAGGACACACAGACGCTTCTTGGGCAGACGACGCCGAGAATCTCAGGTCCTGGCAGGGCTACTGCTTTAGCCTTGGTTCATGTGCCGTCTCGTGGAGAGCTACCCGCTCCTTGTCTGTTGTCCAGTCCAGCTGTGAGGCCGAGATCTACGCCGGTGCCATGGCGGCAAAGGAGCTCCGCTGGCTGACCTTCTTGCTCACTGACTTAGGTGAGCGGCCTAGCTCTGCCCCGGTCCTGTACGCTGACAACAGGGCCATGATTCTCCTGTGTCAGGAGCCTCGACTCGAGGGCAGAGCGAAGCACATCCAGCTGCGGTACTTCCTCCTACGTGAGCTGCAGCAGCGTCGCCAGGCGCGCGTAGTACACTTGGCCTCCGGTGCCAACACAGCTGATATCTTTACGAAGGCGCTTGCGCCTAAAGATCATCAGCGGTACTGTTTACGGCTAGGTCTCGTTCCTGTATCCTCTCACTTGCTAGGGCCTTGACTTTGTACTGTCCTTTATATGTATATTTTACTCTGACTGGCCTTGTGGCCTCTCCCAGTGGCTGGACTAGTAGTGCCGCCCTGGTCTTGCTCTTCTATTGTCTCTACTCCTTTGACTGGTCTTTAGACCCTTGCCTCAAAGGCTGGACTAGTAGTGCTACCCTGAGCTGCTTCTTTCCCTGTAAGGCATTGCCCCTATATAGACTAGGGGGTGTGTCAAATGTAACTTGGGTCATTACTGTAGACTATACTGGATTGTGCCTTAGAGGGTACAACACCCTAGTCTATATACCCTTGTACTCACACATTCTAGTTCAATTATTATTTCTGATAGTCCAACCAAACCGTGAGTTTGCCCGGAAAATTCTTTTGGGAGCAGAACGCGGGACGATTTGAATCCAGCCGAACAGTTAACGACAAATTTATGCTGTACTCTAGCCTAGATTACAAAAGTTAGCCAACCAAAATAAGACTAAGGGCATAATATGAGGAAAATCGAAGTTGGCCAACATATATTTGGTCTCAAAGCTCGTTGACTTGTCAGTAACAAACCTGCTGCCTAACAGCGGTCGGCTTCGAGAAAGGCGAGTTCAATACTGCCACGTAGGTCTGGCAACTTATGAGAAAATCAAATGTGCCACGTAGGACGTGCAAGCAAAGACGTTTCAGTTGCACTCTTGCCTTGTTCATCCACCAGACCGCAAGGCCAACATCTTCATCTTGGCAGCATCCTGCGTGGGGATTGGCGAAAATCTGTCGACGCGCACTTCAGAAATATATCAGCGCGGCTCGAACTTTTTAGCTCCCCCCACCCCCCACCCCACAGCCCCTTCCCTTCCCCTCCCCAGCGCCATCCCCCACTCGTATAAAATCCCAAACCAGCGTCGGTACGAGCGAATTAGAGTGTGCTGCGAAGAAACTGAAACGTCCCCTCACAAGGGGCCAAAATGATCGCAATTCCTACCACCCCAATCCAACTCACCCATCAAATCAGCCATGGACCGCACCCACACACAAGCGAAGTGCAGCACCACCACCACAGTGCAGGCCGCCTGCATGCAAAAGCATTTGCCATCGGGCATGAAGCAACACAAACGACGTCGTACCCCCCTCCTCCCGATCCCGACAGAGGAACAGCCGCAGCAGCTAGGAAAGCGAATCACCCATACGGCATACGACAATCAAGACGAATTACTTTGTAGTGCTCGATAACTCGAATCCATCTTTCCCCTCATGCACTCCCCTCAAGAAGGTACATCCGTATAACGTGCCTCGTCCAGGGGGCTCTCACTCTCTCTCAGGTTAGTCATTCTTTGCCTCGCGGTTTTCGCTTAGTGGAATTATAGGTGTATCTTCATTAGCCGAGCGTAACGCAGATCGTGCATAGTCCCTGTGCAACAGCGTGTGCGGACTTACCTTCCCTGCGAGCATAAACGTTTAAGCGGACTTCCCTCTCCTGTGCCTCACCTATGAGTGCTACCAAGGATCCCCGTCCGCGCGACGGCACGATCGTCTCCCCCCGTGTAGCTCCACGTTAAAGAGGCGCGTCGAAACATGCTGAGCGTCGAAGGTCCTCCGCCGACGCCTCACGCAATCACGCCCCGAAATCTGCTTCTACTCGCAAAGCGGCGCGAGAATGATGGTGGCGCGCACGGGAATTCCCCAGCCGCGCTGCTGCCGTCTGCCGCGACATCATCGCATCACAATGATGCAACGGTGCTCGTTTCCGCAGGTGGCCTCGACCCCGCCACCCAACGGCTGCCGCAACACGAGCAGAGGCATCACCCGCGCAACGAAAACCACCTCGAGCACCACCACCACCACCACGAGCAGCATCACGAGCACCACCGCAATCACCGTGACTACCCCCGCGCGCAGCACCAGCTGCCAGTAGCAGTGTCTCGCATTCGGCACGCGAGCTCGCTGCGGCTCTCTCGCACGGGCTCCGAGTCGTCGTTCCCCAGTCGTAGCCCAAGTCGGGCTGATATTACTGACTGCGGGGAAGTGGAGGGGCGAATGGAGTGCGCAGACGAAATGGGCTCAGCTACCACTCCTCGGCACCGGCTCGAACGGCTGAAACGCGAGCTGCTGCTGCAGCGACAGCAACCGCAGCAGCAGCAGCAGCAGCAGCAGCAGCAGCAGCAGAGGCAGCCGCAGCTGCTGCTCCTGCGACGCAACGCCGGAGCGTCACTCAAGCCGCTGACCATAAGGGCAGTTGGCGCGCCACCTGGTACTACTAGTACTAGAAGCAACAACGTGTCGTCCACGTGTCAGTGGAGCAGCGGCTATCTCTCCAAAGTTACCTCGTCTGCGTCGTCATCGTCATCGTCATCGGCATCGGCCGCGGAGCGATGCTCACAGGACGAGGAGGAGGAGGAGGGGGCGGAGAGAGAGGATCATGGGGACGCAGCGTCGTCCCGTCCCACCAGCCGCGGCAGCACCATCAGCATTAGCAGCATGAGCAGCGGCGGCGGGGACAGCAGCTGCGGCGGTGGCGGCAGCGCCAGTAGCGGCAGCAAAATGCAGACTCCGTCGCACAGCACGGCAGCGACGCCGGCGCAGACGACCGCAGTGGTATTAGCAGCAGCGGAGCGGCAAGGGGTCACGGACCAGGGCAGTGCGGCATCATTCACGCCTTCTGCTTCTATCAGCGGTGCTAGCATCGCTGCCGCCACCTCTGACACACGTTCACCCGTGGTTGCACGGGCAGCTGCTGGCGCGGCGGCCCATCAGTCACGGCCGTCTGACGAGGCTGCCCCCGGCTTGTCTGCCCACCACCCCGCCTCCTCCCCCCACAGCCGCGATATTCTACTCCGCACCTCCCCCGCCACTTTGTTGCCGTCGTCTCCCCGTTCCCCGCGGCACTCCCCCCATCGTCCTGCGCCCTCCGCCTCCGCGGCGGAGGGTGGCGGCCGCGGACCATCATCTGCGCCGGGGTACGCGCGGACGCACTCGCGCTTCTCCCCCCACGTCCTCTCCAGTCCCGCAGCTGCGGCGGCAATTGCGGTGGACTCCCCGCGTCGGGTAGATAGCCCGTGGTCGGCGGGGCCGGCGGCGGCGGGGGAGCCGCTGGCAACAGGCACGCAGGCGGGTTGGGCGCGGAACTGTGGCGAGGAAGCAGCGGGGGGAGCGGCGTCGGAGAGAAGCAGCGGGACGCGAAGAACGGCGGCGGGCAGCGCTGCTGCGACTCCTGCTAGGGAAAATGGGGGCACTATGTGCGCTTCGTCCTCTAGTACTACTACTACTACTACTATTAGTCCTAGTAGTACTGCCACTAGTAGTAGTGCCAGTGGCAGTGCTAGTAGAACTGGAAGTGGACCTTGTCTTGTGCGGCAATCGGCTCAAGCTGCGCGTAGTGGCAGCAGCACTGGCGACGGCGACGGTGGCGGCGGCAGGCTGACTCGAGTGCACAGCCTCGGGACCGGCGCGATCGCACGCGACGCCTCGTCTTTCGCCACGAGTAGTAGTGCCACAACTGACATCTCGACTCGTAGTACTCCTAGCGGCGGTCGGGTGGCGGCTTTGCCGCGGGCTATGTCCATGGGGCCGACGAGAGTGGCGGCTCCCGTTGGGCTGCCTGAGGTTACGACCGCAACTGCGGCGGCCACTGCTGCTACCGATGCTGCGACTGGTGCTGCTATTGCTAGTAGTGCTGCCACTCGTATTAGTGCGACGGGCTTTGCCAGCAGTGGTGGTGGTGGGGGTGGGGGTGGGGGCAGTGGTGGTGAGACTGGTGAGGTGGGCGGAGTGGTGCAGTGCGCGGAACTTCCACAACGTAGTAGCAGCAGCGGCAGCACTATCTCTGCTGTACCCGGTACAAGTTGCTCCGTTCCTGGGCCAGGCCGACATTCGTCCAATTTCCTGCAACACCCAGCGGTAACATATCATACGGGTCTGGGCAACACCTCCCTTCTTCTCACGACCAAAAATGTTCAATCTCCGCGCACTAGGTTCGCTCCCCACGTCCCCCGCAGCTCGCCCTTTCCGCATCCGCACCCACACGCGCATGCGCACGGGCACGCGCAAGCGCAAGGGTATGCGCATCCGCACCCCTCCGCGCATGCGCAACCAGGGTATCCTTACCCTGGCCGCCATCCCGCGCGCCCGCCCTCCCGCATCCCCCGTTCCGCCCCGCTCCCCGTTCCCGCCAACCACTCCCGCGGCCTCCATCCCTCCGCCGGTTCCCCTCCGCCTCCTCCGGGGGTTTTGGCGAGATGCGGGGAAGGCCATGCGCCAAGGAGACCCGCGGGAGCTGGAGGGGCAGCAACAGCAGCAGCAGCGGCGGCGGCGGCGGCGGCGGCGGCGAGAGTGTCCGCGGAAGGCTGGCGGAGGCTTCCGCTGCGGGGAATCGAGCGCACGGCGAGCAGCGACGCTGCATGGAGCCCGCGCGCGCGATTCAAGGGGGAAGACGCGCTGAGTGCGCGGATGGAAGCAGGGATCAGCAGGTCGATTGGCGGGGGGATTGGCGGAGGAATTTCGAAGAGCAGCAGCGGGAACTGGGGCGACGCGAATGGCATGGGCGGAGGGGGCAGCGGGAGAGTGGGGAGCATGAGCGCGACCAACAGCCCGCGGAGCAGGAACCTGATTAGGACCTTGGGGATGCCGCGCAGTGACAGCATGGGAGCTGCTACGGGCGGCGTGGGCGGTTCTATGGGCGGCTTGGGCGGCGCGATTGGCGGGGGTGCGGACGGCATGAGTGGTGGCGGGCGGTGGATAGCGACTGGCAGCTGCCCTGTCACGCCGCAGTTCGGGCTGCGAGCCTTGGACAGTCCACGTGGCAAGCCGCCATTGGGCCAGAGGCTTGCAGTTGGCTCGTCGGCGTCGACGGGGGGGAGCGGGGGGAGCAGTGAGGGGAGCAGTGGGGAAGGGGGTTATAAGGGGGAGAGTCGGCTGGAGAGAGGGGGAGAGGGGTTGAGGCAGGGGCAGGATGGGGTGGTGGAGAGGGAGGAGGGGGAGGAAGAAGAGGAAGGGGGAGAGAGGAGAGAGAAGCGTGGAGGGGGTATGTTGCAGTGGAAGCAAGGAGTGGGCGTTGGCGGTGGTAGGAAGACCACGGGGCAGAATGTGAGGGCTGATGGCGCTGGTGGGAGGAGGGGAGGGGATGAGGAGGAGGAGGAGGAGGAAAATGAGGGCAGCACGCAGGCACAGGACGAGGAGGAGGAGGAGGTTAGGGCGGCGATTTATGGCGCTGGCAGAGGAAGCAGAAGCAGCAGAAGCAGTGGCAAACCTGCTGCAAGCAGCAGCAGCATCCCCCTCGACGCTGCAGATACCACCGCTGCCAGCACCAGCACCCGCAGCAGCAGCAGCAACAGCAGCACTGTCCCAGTCACTTCCTCCCCTCCCAGCAGCACCATAGCAGTGCGAGGGCGGTCCAAGTCGCTGGCAATGAGCTCCGTGGCCGCGGCGGCGCGGTGGCGAGCACGAGCCATCGCCAGCGTGGTGGGGCACTCGGGGCGACTTGTGGAGAAGCCTGGTGGTGGGAATACTGGCGCTGATGGGGGCGGTGGGGGAGGGAGGCGGGATGGGGGAGATGGGGGAGAACGGGGAGAACGGGGGGAAAGGGGAGAAGGGGGAGGCGGGAGAGCAGGGGGTGGTGGAGGCAGAGTAAGGGGAAGTGCGGGGCGAGAGGTTGCGAGAGGGGGAGGGGACGGCGGTGGGGGGACAGTGTTGGGAGTGGAAGCAGGTGGACAGGGAGGACGAGATGGAGGAGGGGGAGGGGGAGGAGGGGGAGAGGAGGTGAGTGAGATGAGGGAGAAGGCGTTGTATGTCGGCAGCAGCAGCAGCGGCACTAGCAGGGGCGGCACCGGCGGAGGCACCGGAGGCACCGGCGGTGGTGGCGACGGGAGGAGGCGGGGCGTGTGGATGGAGAGATGGAAGGCGGCCGGTCAGGTGGAGCTGGTGGACAGCCCCAGACAGACCCGGCTCAGCGCGTGGACAGCGGGAGGTGAGAGAGAAGGTGAGAGAGGAGGTGAGAGAGGAGGTGAGAGAGGAGGTGAGGGAGGAGGTGAGAGAGGAGGTGAGAGAGGAGGTGAGAGAGGAGGTGAGAGAGGAGGTGAGAGAGGAGGTGAGAGAGGAGGTGAGAGAGGAGGTGAGAGAGGAGGTGAGAGAGGAGGTGAGAGAGGAGGTGAGAGAGGAGGTGAGAGAGGAGGTGAGGGAGGAGGTGAGAGGGGAGGTGAGAGAGGAGGTGGGAGAGGAGGGGGGGCAGGAGAAGCAGGGGGGTCAGGAGGGAGAGTTGCAGCGTGTGCTGTTGGTGGGGGGGGGATGGTGGACGGAGGGGGGCAGCTGGTGGGTGGGGTGGGGAGTTTGATGTGGGATAGCAAGGGGAGAGGAGAGGGGATGGGAGAGAATGGGGTGGATGGTGCTGGTGACGGTGGCTGGGGGGCAGGCAGGTGTGTGGCAGCAGGTCCAGATGATGGCGCAGCAGGGAGGGGACAGTTGATGGAAGGAGGTGCGGGTGGTGTGAGCCACGACGCGACAAGCTGTGCTGGAGAGGTTGTTCCCTCCAGCAGCAATACGGCTGCTGCTGCTGCTGCTGTTGCTGGCGCTGCTGTCATCACATGCGGTGAGGACACGGGAGTCAGACGCCAAATGCCAAGGGACACGACAAGGGACATGACAAGAGGGATGACAAGTGTTGCACATGTGCCTGTGGCGAGTGGGACTGCGGCGGCAGATTTGGCCGGCATAACAGAGGAGCCACCATTGTGCAGTGGGCAGGTGAATGAACCAGACGAAGACCAAACTGCCGTGATGTGTATGATGGAAGATGATGACGCACTGACAGTAGTAGGGGCAGAGGCTAACCACACGGCACGGGACGCAATGGGAGACGCAGGGAGCAAGCGCGTGACGACGTGCCCGACAGGTTGGGGGATGGGCGGACGCATACGCTCCCACCCCTCCCTCCTGGTGCCACTGTCGCCGTCATTGTCTCTTGCATCACTGTCGACTTCATTGCCCTCGTCAGCAACAACAGCAGTAATGTCAGCATCATCAACGTCGTCATCATCAGCATCATCCGCATCATTGGCATCCGCTTCAGCTTCCTCCCACCACCCGCACCGCATGCTGCGCAAGGCTCACTCACTGATGAGGCCGAGGCTGAAGTCCCCCGCCATTGCGCCCACCAGCAACGAGGTGACTTTTGAGTCGACTCAAAACTCATTGATGAGGCCGAGGCTGCAGTCCCCCACCATTGCACCCACCAGCAACGCACCTCCAACACCCCCTAGGAGTGAGTCCCTGCTGCTGCTGCTCTCCCTGTCCTCTGTGGCTCCCCTGCCACACGTGAACTCCCAAGAACCACAATCAGATACGCTGCTGGAAATACATGAGCTGAAGCCGCAGCCAGAAGCAACGCACCGCCCTGATGTTGCACCAGAGAGGAACGCTGCTGCTGCCGCTGCTGCCGCTGCCGCTGCGGCTGCTGCTGCTGCTGCTGCTGCTGCTGCTGCTGCTGCTGCTGCTGCTGCTGTCAAGTCAACCAAACAGCCGGCTGAGAGTTTGAAGGAAAGAGAGCATAGGAGCGGAATGGGGGAAAGTTTGGGGCTGGGAGATGGGGGGGAGGGGATAGGGGAGCGAGGGGGAGAGCTTGGGGGAAGGGGGAAGGATGAGGAGGGTTTTATGAAGAAGGGGAGGAGGGGCCTTGGAGGGGGACGGAAGGGGAGGAGTGTGATGGAGAAAATTGGCAGGTTGGGAGGGGTGGGAAGGGTGAGCTGGGGACGAGCGGGCGAAGGGGTAGGAAAGGGCGGGAAGAAGACAAAAGAGGCGAGTGGGAGGGAGCAGGAAGGGGCTGGTAGGGTGCCGGTTGTGGTGCCGGTTGTGGTGCCGGTTGTGGTGCTGGTTGCAGTGCCAGGTAGTGGTGAGAGGGGTCTTTCCCAAGGTAGGGTTATGGCGGAGGAAGGAGAAGAGCACGGGATGGTGGATGGGGTTGTGCGAGAGGCAGTGGAAGTGCAGAGGGGTGGGTGGAGGATGAAAGGGAGGGGAGAGAAGAAGAGTGGGAGAGGGGGGAAAGACGAGGATAGGAGGGAGGCTCTGACTGGGGAGGGTGGGAGCTTGAGGAGGGTTACGGATGGGGGTAGAGAGGGGAAGGCAGGGGTGAGTGAGGTAGAGGGGGGAAGCAGACAAGATGAGGGAGAGGTGCGATTGAGAGGAGGTGGGGGAGAAGAGGGAGGAGGAGAAGAGGGAGGAAGAGAAGAGGGAGGAGGAGAAAGGGGAGGAGAAAGGGGAGAGGAGATGGTTAGCAAAAGGCAGTCAGAGGGCGGGGAAGGGGAGGAGAAGGGGAAGAAGAGGAAGGTGCGGCAGCCCCAGCAGCAGCAGCAGCAGCAGCAGCAAAAGCTGAGCTGGTATGCGCACGGGCATGTGAAGGGTAAGGCAGAGGCACACGAAGCAACCAAAGACGATGCAGAGGACACTGAGGGCAGCAAAAGGGCAGGGCAAGGGCAAGGAGCGGAGAAGACGGGTGAAGTAGAGAGGAGGGGCGATTTGGAGAGTGGAAGGCCAGGGCACGATGACAGTGGTACCGCAACGCCGAGCAGCAGTGCGGTGAAGGAAGGGGAAGGCTTCAGTGCGCTTGCCTTGTACAAAGGCGGGGCTGGCATGACACTGAGGGGGATAGACGGGGAGGAGGAGAGGGAGGGGGAGAGGGAGGGGGAGAGGGAGGGGGAGAGGGAGGGGGAGAGGGAGGGGGAGAGCAGGAGGTCGAGGGATGTGGAGATGGAGGAGGAGGGGGAGGCGGGGACGGTTGTGGTGAATGCGAGTAGAGGAATGGGAGAGGAGGCAACAGCAACAGTCGTTATTGCAACAGAATCCCCAACAACAGCAGCAGCAGGGCCATCATTGGCAGCAGTTGAGCACTCGCAGAGCACCAGCAACAGCAGCAGCAGCGGCGGCAGCGGCCCCAGCGCATGTGTGTTGCTGCGGGTGCACAGCGACCTGACGGAGTGGTACCTGGTGGGGCAGCGGGAGGTGGGGCGCGGGCAGTTCGGGGTGATCCGCCCGTGCGTGGAGCGCAGCACGGGGCTCGTGCTCGCATGCAAGACCATCCACAAGCGCGGCGTCGTGCAGGTGCGTGGGGTGGGATGCTCGGGGGGCTGGGAGACTGTGGGCTATTGCATCTTCTCGCCACTTCGTTATTAACCCCTAAGACACCTATCCCTTCGCCCCTCCCCCGTCCCTCTCCCTCCTCTCCTTCCACTTGGCTCGTGTTCTTCCCCCCCACCCCCCCTCGGTCCTCCATCCCGCTCACCATGCTGTGGAGAAGAGAGTACCCCCCACCCCCCCCCCCCTCCCCCTGCTCACCACCCATCCTGTCCTGCCGCCCTACATCCGGATTCCCCTTCCCACCCCTGCGAGTGCGTGCAGTCGGAGCGGGATGCACGTGCGATCCGCAGTGAGGTGCGCACCATGGCGAGGGTGCGCGGCCACCCCGCCATCGTGCACCTGCGAGGGGCGTTTGAAGACGCCAAGGTGAGCCGCAACAAGCGTATGCGATGGGGAGGGTGGGGCTTTTGAGAACTCTAAGGTTCACCCCGCCATCAAGTAGCTCCGAGGGGTGTTCAACAACGACAAGGTGGGGCGGAGGGGGGGGTGAGATGGCGTGGGTTTGGGCGCATGTGTGTTGGTGTTGTGGCATGACGTGGCATGACAAGGCACGGCACATCTATTTGACATATACCCACAGCACACAAATAGTGTCGCTTCGCTTCGTCTCTTCTGCCACCACTGCTCCTGAAACCTTTTTTGAGGCGCCTCAAAAATAGACTCTTCTACCACCACTGCTCCTGAAACCTCTTCCCTCCCAGCACTTCCATTCCCTTCCTCACCCCCACCTGTCAATCCCTCCCCCTCCCCCCTCCTTCCCTTCCCCCCCCTCCCCTCTTCTTCCCTCCCTTCCCCCCAACAGAGCGTGCATCTGGTGATGGATCTGTGTGACGGCGGCGATCTGTTTGACCTGATCAAGGCGGTGGGGCCGCTGCACGAGCGCACAGCAGCTCGCATCTTCCGCCACCTGCTGCTGGCGCTGCAGCACTGCCACGCGCTGAGGGTCGTCCACCGGGACGTCAAGCCCGAGAATATCCTCCTCGCCTCGCAGCCTGCTGCTGCTGCTGCTGCTGTTGCTAGAGACACTGCCGCCGCCGCCGCTGCTGGTGATGCTAGTTGTGCTGCTGGCTCTGCTGGTGCTGCTGCTGGGACTGGCGGCGTATCGGCAGCTGCGGGCGAGCCGTTGGGAGTACCCACGACAGCAGCAGCGGCTGCAGCAGCAGCAGCAGCGGCGGATGCTCTGCTGTGCCCGGGCGCTCTGAAGCTCACAGACTTTGGCGTTGCCACATTCCTTCCCTCCCAGGGTAAGAGGGATGCTAGTAAAGCCATCGCCGCCCAAAGGTGAGGTGAGGGTAAGAAGGAAGCAATCCCTGCTGCCTGCTGTTAGGAGGAAGGCTTTTCGAAAATCACTCCTCTGGTTCCGTTCCTCCCGTACCATTCCTCCCGTACCATTCCTCCCGTACCATTCCTCCCGTTCCATTCCTCCCATTCTTCCAGTCCCCCTTCTCCCCTCTTCTCCCAGGCGAGCCCCTGCAGGTGCAGGAGCTGGTGGGCACGCCTGAGTACATGGCGCCCGAGTCCTGGCAGGGCGAGTACAGCCCGGCCTCCGACATGTGGGCGGCAGGCGTGGTGCTGCACGTGCTGCTGGCGGGGGTGCCGCCCTTCTGGGCGGCGGAGCAGGCGTCACTGGTGGAGGCAGTGCGGGGGAAAGAGGTGGCGTTCAAGGGGAGGAGGTGGAGGGGCGTGTCCGGGGGCGCGAAAGATGTGGTGAAGCGGCTGCTGAGGAAGAGCCCGGGGGAGAGGCCGAGTGCCAGTGATGTGCTGAGTGAGTGCGGTGTGGGTGGGCCGAGCTGCCTTGCAGTTCTCGCGTGCAAGGCTGTGCAGCATGCAATCCAATCTGTTTCGTGATGACTCCTGGTGCCTGGGGAGTCGGGACTCAGATGGGCACTGCATGGCGCCATGCAGGTGCTCGCTCGTCTGCTGCATCCTCTTCCTTTCCCTCCTCTCCTTTCCCCTCGTCTCCTCTCCCCTGCACCTCTAATCCCACTGCCGCACCCCCTTATCCTCTCAACCCCTTCCATGTCTGTGCTGTGCTTCCTGCAGGTCATCCGTGGCTTCTCTTCTAGCCACTCTAGCCCTCCCTCACAAGTCATGTCATGGCGACCGCACCGCACCCCACCGCACCTCACCTCACCGCAAACAGGCCACCTTGCACCATCGTTCCCTTCACCTCACGCGCTCCCTTGCCCCTTGTTCCCCTCCATCGGCCTCTCGTTCCCCTACCTCACCACCATTTGCCATGGGTCCTATCCCATCCTGCCACACTACAGTACCACCACCCCACTACAACCCAGCGCCTGGCCATTCCCTGTCGAAGCATGCTGCACTGCATTCACTTGGGTTGGGAATTTTCAGTTCCTTCACCACGCACGACCACCCATCCGCTGGCTGCATATGAGTCTGCTTCTGATTCGACTCGAAACCCGGCAGTTCCTTGTGGAAGGATGCTGCACTGCATTCACCTGGGAAGTCTCAGTTCCTTTACCACCACGACCATCCGTCCGCTGGCTGCATATCGGCCGTAATATACCCTAGTTCCCTGGTAGACTGTGCCTGCACTTCTGATGGCGCACTCCATCTTATGACATGTTGGCTGGTACTGAGTACTGGCTGACAGATGGTACGGTACATTACGTAAAATAAGTACATACGATACGAGCATTTTTAATGGACTAGCCGAAATGCTCTCTATGCGCCGATGAAACACAAGGCTAAAGGTAGGTGAGGCTTCGGTAACCTCTGCTACCACATTCAAAGGGTGGGAAACAGGCAAAACATGTATGTGCCACATGATGCTGTAGAGCAGGAGAGCAGACTAGAGCATACTGACTTGCGCTTGCAGCAAATACATTAGGGAGAAATCCAAGGACAGGACTGTTCATTCCAACACGCAGTGACATGACATGATGCCTACGACAACATACAGCGCATGCCATTGCCATGCGATGACATGGCAACCAGCAGCTGTGTGAGGGATGGAGCAGCTGCATGCCATGGTCAGATAAGATGGCTTATCCACTCGAGCTCGGGCTTATCATGGATACATGGCAGTAGATGCATAGATCGAGGATAACAGTGCAAGCATGCACACATGCATCTTCACATGCGCACACCCGTGCACACACTCACATACTCGCTCTCACACAAGCATACAGGCACACATGCATACATAGGCTCACACACATACATACACACATAAATACAAGTGCATACAGAAACACACGCACACGCACACACGCACACACACACACACACACATTGCGCAACGCCACTCCCCGGCTGCTCCATCCCCTTCCCCACATCACTCCCCAGCAAATCACCACCGCCCAGTGTCGTGCAGGGTTCAAGCATTGCTCACCCCCAGCAGACCCCGATCCACCACATGCTGTACCCATCATTCACTGATTCACTGCGGGTTCACCAAATCAAGCCGTGCTCTCCCACACGCAGTACCCATCGCCGTACGTCGCCACACGGTACTCACTATTGCTGGGCAGCAGTCGCCCCATGTCATACTGAGACCCTATCTTCACCATTATCTTCCCCCCCTTCTCCTCCCCCCCCTTCACACTACCGTTCCCCCCGTCCTCGCCTCCTGCACCCCTCTTCCCCGCGCCTATCTCGGCCACGTAGAGGTTGGCCTCTGCTGCGAGGATGCGGATGGGCGAGTTGGCTCTGATACCATTGCGCTGCCGCACAGCTACCAGGTCGACGATGGGCTTCTTCAGACCCCATGTGAACACATGGTCGTAGAACTGGGGGGGGGGGGGGGGTGGGGGGGACCGGAGAAAGGGAGCAAGGACGGTGGGGGTTTTGGAGAATCCTCACAAAAGATATCGCTGCTGCCGCACGGCCACCAGGTCAACAATGGGCTTCTTCAGACCCCAGGTGTACACGTGGTCGTAGAACTGGCGGCGGTGAGACAGAGAGCAAGGAGGGTGGGATTCGGGGGTGGGGGGTTGCGTGAGAGTAAGTGGGTCAAGAGGACGTGAGGGTTCGGACGAAAGCAGCAGGGTCTGACTCGTGCTCTATTACCTGCAGGGTTGAGTGGCGAGGGAAGAGAAGACAGGGATAGGAGAGGAGACGAGGGGGGTGGGGAAGTGGGTCAAGGGATGTGAGAATGCGGGGGTCCGACACATGTCGGAGTGCAGGGCTCTTTATCCTGAGAAACGAGTGGAAAGGAAAGGAAGGGGAAAGGTTTGAGAGGGGTGAGGCCGACGCATGCTCTACCGCCCGTCGGCAGACGGGCAGGGAAGGGCTGGGAAGGGCAGGGGAAAGCGATGAGACGCCTTGAACATCAGCTCCATGGGTGCAATAGGAGCGCACGCTGGGAACAAGGACCTCACATCCAATGAAAGAACGGCATCGAATGTGGCCCCTTGTGCTGCTAGGTCTTCTGCATGTTGAGAGGGACGAAAGAAGAGGGAAGAGGGGAGAGGGGAGAGAACGAATTAGGAGTGTGGTGGGGATACGGAATAGGTACTGGTGGTGACTGAGCTCATGTGATGTTCGATCGATCCAGAGCACGCGGAAGTAGAGGAAACAATCTCCGAGGGAGGAGTCAATATGGGCGGGGTGGGTGGGTAGGGGGGGATGAGCGACGCCGCAGGGCGGCAGGGCGAAATGCCACGAGGAGATAGCATGTGGAAGAAGAAGGGACGGGGAACGAGCAACGACAACAGGGGCTGCAGTGGTGTGTGGGAGGCGAGGCACGGTTCAAAGAAAGAGCAAGGAGGAAAGGGGCAGGCAGGGAGGGAGGGAGGGGACTCACGACGCAGGGTATGCCGGGGTGGGTGAGGATGTAGGCGTATCCCTGCATGACCTTGTCCGAAGGGAAGGGCCATGAGTTCTGCGTGCTGCCCGTGTCGTGGTTGTCTATGAACGTCACCGCCCGCGCCGGCCAGTACCCTATCATGCCTGGTTCCAATATGGAGTTGGTGAGAGGCGTGTGAGGGTTCGGAAGGGAGAGAGAGAGGGAGTGAGAGTGCGGCGGATGTTGGACGCATACCAACCGTGCATTGCATCACGAATGCCACCATGGCATTGCATGCCACCATGGCATTGTCCAACTCTCCACACCACATCCCCCCGAACCCCCCTCACCTGGCGGCTTCCCCTGCCCATCCTTCAACCGCCACAGCTGCCCTTGAACAGCCTGCTGCAGAATGCCCTTAGTGGTGAAGTCAAACGCCCCACACACCCCTCCGGTACCATCCACCCAGTCCACCAGCGCCTGCCTGTGCGCGTCCTGGTTCCATGCCATCTGCCCGTCGCCCTCGTACCGCATCGCCGTCCACACCTCGCCCACCGCCAGCACCGGCTCCGTCGCCCGGCAGTACATCCCCACAAACTCCGCCCCGTACCCTTTCGCGAAGTCGAACCGCCACCCGTCGAACCCCACCTCGCGCTTCATCCACAACAACCAATTGATCAAGTCCCGCTGCACCCGCGCATTGGTATGATCTATATCCGGTGCGGCACCATAGTCCTCCCCTGTATCCGCCTTCCCGTCGCCCCCGTACGGCATGTCCCCCGCGGTGATTGCCCAGGGGCCCCAGTCGAGCCTCTCGTCGGGCGTGCCCCCTTCGAAGATGGTCCAGTTGCCGTGCGCGTCCTGGAAGTCCCCGCAGCGGTGGTTGATGACAATGTCCGCCATGCACCGCATGCCGAGTGAGTGCAGGCGCCGGATGAGGCGCCGCAGGTGCACCTCGTCGCCGTAGCGTGACGCGTCTAGATTGTACAGCTGTGACGGCAGGTAGCCTGGTGTGGGGAGGGGGAGGGCCGGGGGAGGGGGAAGAGGGGGAGGAGGGTGAGGGGGAAAGGGGGGATAGAAGAGGAGAGAGATGAGGGGGGAACGGAAACCAAGAGGAGGACGCAGTTGAGGAAATGTGAGAGAACAATGGGGTTCATGGCCCTTGCTACACCCTGTAAAGGGCAAACCCAGCGGCTATGAGCTCTGGTTAACTCCCATGGTAAAGGGAGCGCGGCGTTATACCCATGCCATATTCCCCATACTCCCCATGTCACATTCCCCCATTCCCCAGGTAAGTCGTCCCTTTATCCCTCTATCCCCTGCCCCCCTGCCCTCTGCCCCCTGCCCCCTGCCCCCTGCCCCCTGCCCCCTGCCCCCTGCCCCCTGCCCCCTGCCCCCTGCCCCCTGCCCCCTGCCCCGTGCCCCGTGCCCCTGTGCCCCCCCTGGCCCCGTGTCCCCCTCCGCCCTCGCACCCTGCTTGTCGACGGCCTTCGTGGGCGGCGGGAGCCACACGTCCGTGAACCCCATGCCCGCCATCTCCGCCGCGCGCGCCATGAGCCCGTCGTACCACGGCGGGTCGCTGCGCCAGCTCTCCCAGTTGAACGCCTGGCGGGCGCAGGGACGGGGGGGGGGGGGGAGGTGAAGGGGGAATGGCGGGGAGGGAAGGGCGGAGGGAAGGGGATGGGGAGAAGGAAGGAAAGAGCGGCAGCGTGGGAAGCAAGTGAAGCAGCCAGAACGTGAAACGCATCCCGCTGCTCGCCCTGGAGTGGCCACACCACAGTGGCCGCTCAATGCGCCAATCCTCTGAGCGGGGAGGGGAGGGAGGCGAGGGGAGGGAGGGGAGGAGCAAGAGCAGCGGGAGGACGAAACAAGTGAAATAGTAAAAGGAACACCAGCAGCAGGAATACCCTATTACCCACTCAGCGCCCCCTAGCCACCCAGCGCCCCCACTTCCCCATCACCGTCGCATCACCTGCAGCAGAACGGACTTGGTCGTGGGTGTGCGGATATTCCCGCCTTCGCTCTCCTCCTCCCCCACTTCCAGCCTCTCCTCATTCGTCACCACCGCGCCTTGCGCCGAAGGACCTTCCGCCGCACGCTGCTGAGCCAGCTCCTGCCGCGCAAGCAGCATGCTGTCGCTCATCCACTCCACGGCGCGCGGAGGTAGCAGCGCCCGCCGCCGGTGCGCGGGACGCATGGGGAGGCGGAAGGGCGGAACGCGCTGGGAAGACGACAGGGTTTGGCGAAAGGCAGCGCGAGTGGATTCTCCGACAGCCACAGCGCGCAGAGCAGGGGGATGACGCGATTGCGGGAGACAAGGTCGCGGGCACACATCGAAGGGACGGGCGGCGGAGGTTACGCACGTGCGCGGAGCGGTTATAGTCCTTCCGCGGATAACGAGCGGCGGGGTGGCTACCGCGGCCATGATAGGCAGACGCGGTCAGCGGAACACAGGCAAGCGGGTAGGTAACGGATAGGTAACGGTGAGGTAACGGAGGGGTAACGGACACTGTATTGCAAAATAGCAGGCACCGCCGCGGTTCAGAATGTGGCGCTAGGCAGAGAGCGTGACTCTTGGCTGATGCGACAACGAAATGAAGTCACGCTGTCGGAAGCTCCATCAGTAGTGTAGCCGAAAGATTACTCCGTAGAAACCGGGAACGGAAGCTGGGGGTCTTTGTGCATTGTGTGGTTGAGTTGTAGACTGCTTTTCTTGGACTCGGTTTGCTGCATTTCTAAATGGGCAATGCGCCCCTCTGACATACAGTATGCCTCTCTGAAATTTCCCCCCTCTACCTCCTTTTCCGCCAAGCACTGGCTTGCGATGCCTGTCCTTGACTTCCACCCACATTCCGTGTGCGCGTGCCTGACGTGTCACCGTGAATTGATTGATGAATTCGGGGAGGGGAGACACACATTTGGACCTAGACCGAAACGTTTTATTTCAGTTGGTAGCTAAGTTTCTGAAATCGTAAGAGCTGTTCCTTGGCATATATCCCTCGTTTTCCCACCGAACTTTGGAGAAACGTACCTGTTGTACTTGATTGCTAACGCATCTAAGTAGTGTAAATCACGACTTGGGATTTTCAGAACATTACGGGTAGCGTGACGCCAGGGAAAGGCATGTAAACTTGGCGCACCACGTCAGAAATCTACGAAGTAGCGTGGCATTCACACGTGGAAAATATCCCTCACCAACGAACAAAACACCACGCCAATGGCCAGTGCGACAACGAGATTTCACTGGCACGTACTCACTCAGCTGGTTTCAAGAAGCACATATATGTGCCATAAAGTAAGGAGCTATAAGTGAAGATACCCATAGCTAGACACAATCCCAAATAAAGCCTTTGAGTTCACTTCAGGTCTCCTAGAAACGAATGGTGGCCAACGTACTGATATATTATATACGAACTTGGCATAGCTTACGAATGTGCACGCATCCGGAGCGAAGGCTTTATACCAGTCGACACACCTTGTGTAGCAAGCAATCTTGTGTGCGAGCAAATGCCTCGTTCAATTCATCAAGTTGGAGGCTTGTGAGATGGGTTTAGGACCACACTGTGATTCTTGTCAATTTCTGATGAAGCGTTTCTATAGAGGGTGTAAGGACATCTAAATAGTTTTTTTTGAGAAAATATCTTCAAATATTGCACAAGTAAGCCACCTTAATCTTAGTTGCACAAAGTGTGACACTCTTTCTCAGACACAGTATATCATCATCCCTTCAACTAGGGGAAAGGAGAGGCGCTAATATTACAGTAGCGAAATCGTTTTTGCTGAGCACCGACGAGGCGCAGCAGTCGTGGGGCATTGACATGAATAGGTCAGGCGAGACATGCAGCCCTCTCCCGTCGACACAATCGAGGTGACTCTTTCCAGGGACCCTTTCCCGTCACACTGCGGTACGAGTGCAAGCATCAACCTAGTACCCAGAACTGGGGTTGGGAGTCAGAACAGGGCTGGGAGCTCTAGCTGTCGCATTCTTCACATTCCTCTTACTCCAGTAAAGTTGCTGTTGGGAGACCAGTAGGTTTCCCATCAGTGTTCGTAGCTATGGATTCTCGTGTTTCTGTTATCCACGAACTTCTACTTTTCTGCGATCGGAAGAGTTCCGACCTTGAAAATTGTGCCAGAGACTTGGTCGTCCAAAAGCTCGATGGAGTTTGCCAGGCTTCTGCAGATGCAGCGAATTTGTGTGCAGCATACAATCTGAACCTGTCAAGAGGTTGCTGGAATGTTGAAAAGAGGCTGAAGGCACTTCCGAAGCTTGATGCACCCAGTATGTGACGCTCTTGCAGAAAGTGTTCCTCGGTTGCCTTTGGACTCGAAGTTGATCACTGTGCTGCTGATGCGCGCCGTTTTTCCCAGGTGGTAAGGATCTGGAAGAGGTTTTAAGCGTTGGTAGCGACATTCTGGAGCAGCTGAGTGAATTGCTCAAGGTTTCTGATAGCGTCAACAAGGATGCGAGGAAACTTCATCTGGCCATGTGCTGTAATAGGGACAACCTATCCAAGCAGAAGAAAGAATATGAAAATCGTTGCGATCAGCTTATCAAGGTGATTCATGGGGTAGGTTCTGTTAACGGCTGAATCCCTTTTCCACATTTACTCAGTTTCCGCGTTCTGTGCACAGGAGTTAGGCACAGGGAAGAAGGTGGATTCCGTTCTCCAAGTGACTACTCTGGGCCTCTTGGCAGCTGGAATTCCATTGCTTTTGTATGGTGCTGGTGCTGCTGGAACCCTAGCTTGCGTTGGAGGTACGTTATTAAAAGCCATGCTGAGCTGCTTTTTGGTTTCGTTCTCAGTATCCTTCTCTGACCTGTCAATTTGCCTGACAGCTGTTGCCAGTGCTGTGGGCAAAGACCTGCAGCAGCATCACTCCAGTGAGGCCGCGGCCGAGCTTTACAAAAAGCGCGAGGACATTGTTGCAGCAAAAGGGACATTAATCTCCTACTCGCAGCTGGACTTCTCTGCAGCCCCATTGTCCACGGGTCTTGACACCGTAAGCAACTACACACAGAGCCAACACACAGCTAGGGTGCAGAAAGCCTCATAGCATTGCCCACTGCACTTAATCTGACACTGTGGTACTGTGTTTCAGCTGGATGGTCACCTTCAAGCACTGATGGATATTCTGGAGGAAATGCTGAAGAAAGTGCAAGGCAACAAGTTCCTCCAAGCTGAAGTGTTGAGGGAAGAGCTTGATGACCAATTCTACAATGGAGTGAAGCCTCCAAAGGGAGGTTGCAGGTAGTACAAGGACTAAAAATCAACTTACGGTACGATGTACAGTCTGCTAGGAGCAGTATAAGAGCGTGTTCCTACTGTAAGAATTTGTTAGGTGTTGCAGAAGTCGAAGTATAAAATCTGCAGACACGAACACTTGGAAAACCTCAAGTGTTAGTCCAGGATCTTTACTGGAATGGGGTAGACTAGTAAGACAGCGGAAGTTTTGTAAAAGTGAATCGAAGTATAGCTCTTTGTAAAAGTCAAGGTTGAACAACCTGAGCTCATGAACTTGTGGGTAATCAAAGTTAATAATGGAAAGGCATAACAAGGATTTATAGTTCTAGAAAAAGTACCTATTCGCTAATGTATCTGTTCGTCACTATCGCGCTATGCGCCCTAAATGACAATGAAGAGGTGCGACTGTTCGTGTGACTGAAACGACTGTCCCCATGACGAGCGCTATTTGCTGACGTCATCCTACGGACTTATATTCTACAGTTAGATTCGACACTATCTACACAGAAGTGACTTACAGAAATGCTAATTATGAATCATATCACAACACTCCCCTTCATTTCTGAAAGTTCGATAGTGTCACTTCTTGAAGATCCCGCAAAGCTTGTTACAGTACTGGAACTTCTGTCGTGTCAGCTTCTTCGTGAGGAAATCGGCAGCCATTTCGTTGGTCGAACAGTAGACCAATCGCATTCTCCCCTTCTCGACTTCATCCTTGACAAAAAAATAACGCAGTGAAATATGTTTCGTCCTGTTGACGAAACCAGGCTGGTGCGCGATGCGAATTGCACTTTGGTTGTCGCACTGCAGGGTAAACTGGCTACTCGTCGTCAACTTTGCTTCTTCCAATAGTTCCTGCAGGTAAAGTCCTTCGCGTGTTGCTGTGCAGACAGCAATAAACTCAGCTTCAGCAGAGGAGAGAGCAATCAGCTCCTGCTTCGTTGAATTCCAAGAAATAGGCCCGATAGGTTCAAGCCGGTAGATGAACCCAGTACGTGAGCGTTGATTAGTAGTGTCGGCAGCGTGATCGGCGTCGACGAAACCGTGTAGGTATAAAGTTTTACAGCCGATGACTTTGTAGACTAAGCCGACGTCAGGAGTCGAGACAAAATACTGAAGCGCGCGAAGAAGATCAATTTGGTGCTCCTCTTCAGGACGGCGTAAGAACTGAGCGAGCTGACTAGCCACGTAGGCCAGATCTAGATGACAAGTAACAGCGGCGAAGAGTAGAGAGCCTAACTGCTGTTGATAGGTCTGTAAACCAGTTGAATTAACGGTGTAGTATTCAGTTTGTAGTCAGTCGGTAGAGAACGGTGCGGTGTAAAGACTGCAGTAGGGGTGAGGTTGAAGCAGGCAGCGAGCGTCGCTGCGTACTTCGAAGCAGTGAGATGAATCCACGTCGGTGAACAGGTAATGTTTAAGACCGAGAAACTTTGAGACTGTTTCGGAGACGGTAAGCTATAGATTTTCCTGTAGTTTCAGTATGAAGATATCGTCGACGTAGGCGACGAGCAAAATATAGTTGCTGCCGTCGATCAGAAGATACATTCCCTGGTCATGCGGTAGCTGACGGAATCCGGCAAAGATAAGCTGTGAGTGAAGATATTGCTGCCAGAGCCGGGGTGCCTGTTTAATGCCGTATAGCGATTTTCGGAGACGGCATACGCTCGGTGGGTTAGTAGTATAAGAATGCGGGTACTCTATCAGAATGAGTGCATCGACGGGTGCGTAGAGAAACGCGTTTGCCACGTCGATTTGTCGAAGTCGGAGATTACGGCAGGCAGCGACACAAAACAGAATTTGAACGCTCCTATGTCGACTGACGGGAGCAAAAGTCATCTCGTAGTCAATGCCGTAAGTCTGCTCGAATCCGCGGACGACCCATCGCGTCTTGATTTTTTCAAACGACCCATGTGCATTAGTCTTGACGCGGAAGACCCATTTTCCGGTAAGTACCTTCCTCCCTTGTACCTTTGATGTCGGTATTAACTCCCATGAACCGCGACCCTTGAGAGCTACTAGCTCCTTATCCATGGCTTCGCGCCATTTTTCGCGGTAAGGACTCGTAAGAGCTTGTCGAATGGTTTTTGGTTCAGGTATCTTACTGTCGTTGTACTGTACAGCGACTGCAAATCCAAGTATCTGTAATCCTGTTTCTGTAAAACGCGGACGTTCTTCGTTTGCACCTGCGAATTTTTCTTCTGGTCCTTCTTCCCCCCCAATTTCGTCAGGTGTAACACGAACTGCTTCGACAGAAACGGCGGGCATCGGCTGCTGTTGGCGATCACGTTCGTAACTGAGTTGGACTTCGCGAACATCAACCGGGTCAGCATCTGCAAGAGGAATAAATTCCGGTATGCCGGTCGACGTTATAGGTCCGGGAATGTCAATTGCGGCAGCTTCTGATGCTTCAGAAACTGCTTCGTCTTGTACATCAGCTTCGGCTTCGTCGGTTGCAAATGCACGCGAACCTTCGAACAGCCTGGCAGGGTTGGCAGCCGCTGCATGGTGGGCACAAAAAACGGGCAAGGTGAGTCTTTCATAGAAGAGACAATCACGTGAAGGGACGATTTGGTTGGAGCGAAGATCCAAAATCTTCCATGCGTGATACTGTTTTTCGATGCCGAGGTGTACCCCCCATTTTGCTCGTTCTGAAAACTTGCCGAGTGCTGCAGTTGGAGGACGAAACTGCACGACACACCCAAAAACTCGTAAAAGTTTGGTACTTCCCACTGTTCGTGTCCACTGCAGGTGCGGGGAAGAAAATTCGGGCAGTGACGTGGAAGACAGCAGGCTGTGTAACAGCACGTAGTGGCCCATCGCATGCAGCCAAAAACGAGGTGGAAGGGCTGCCTGCGTCAGCAGAGCACGCATCTTCTCCTGCAGAGTTCTGTTCATCCTTTCTGCTACCCCCATCTGTTGGTGTGCATGCGGCAATGACTGCTTCCGTTTGATGCCGAGTGTCTGGAGGTAGTCTGTGAAGGTGTTACTCGTGTATTCCCCTGCGCCATCACTCTGGAATTCTTGCAGTTTCATGCCAGACTCTCGTTCAGCGACAGCGAGCCATGCGACGAAGACGGAGTGAGCAAGATAACGAGCAGAAATGCTTGCTGTCCAAACGTAGCGAGTAGATGCTTCGATGAAAGTTATCACGTACTGCTCTTCTTTAGGTCCTGCTTCAGGTAAGTTAAGAATATCGTTGTAGACTTTCTGCATCAGTTTATAACGTGTGGAGCCAGGAAAATGACTCGGAAACGGATCGTGGGTAAGATTGGCAACCGGACACGTGGTGCAGACCGAGGGGCGGGACTGCGGCTTCATCTCCGTGCCGTCAAGTAAGAGAAGACTATTTTTATCAAGAACTGCTACTCGGATTGAATGATTAAGAATCCCTTGTGATGGATGTCCTAACCGCTGATGCCAGATGTCTTCGGTGGCTTTGTGTCCTGATGATCGCAGGTAGAAATCGACGTTAGTATAAAACGAAGAAATCATAAAGGGAGAAAGCGCGGGAGACATGTCGAGCTCCCCTTCAACGAAACGGGTAAGTGGTAACTGTACATTCAATGGTTCTGCTGCAGTTGCGATTGCAACTTCTGATGCTGCTTCTGTTGATGTGGTGGCAGGTGTTCCTGCGACAGCTACTGTGAGGCTCGGCTGCTCGGCGACTTCTTCCTTTTCGGCTTCGTCAACAACGTCAGGTTCATCAGCTGCAAGTCCACTAATTTCTCCCCAAAGTGGAGCTGGAGTTCCTTGGAAGGCCGCACGGGTTGTATAAAACGTTCGCCAAGCATTGGTGCCTTCATCGGCTGCATTGAACTCCCAAGTATCCAGTGCGGTAAGTACGGCAGCTTCAGTTTGAGAAGCCGTTGGTACAGTAGTTGCCCGAAAATCAATATCCACGAACTGATACTCTGTTTCTTCTGGGTGATCCCAAGGACCAATTGCAAGAACGCGTTCAGAATCACCAGAAGTGCCTTGTGCCGTAAATTGAAGGACTGGCACGCCATGTTGAGTAGCGGCACGACCAAGGTAAGTATTCGTTGAACTGTGCCATAACTCCTGATCCATCGTTTCACAATTGCCCTGTGTGCGAATCTTGTGTGCCAGGAGCTGAGCGGTGGAAAGAAGATTGAATCCAAGGCCGGCGACGATAAGAACATTGGTAACGTGTAGTGAATATCCCGTGTCGACCGATTCGAGCATTACACTCCCAACAGAACGTGCCATAATAGTTTGTCCGTTTGCGACTATGACAGGCATCGGACGGCGAAGTGGACGCTGCTTGGTGATGAAGCTTATTTCAGCAGAGCACATGTGCCAACAGCAACAACTGTCGAGATACCAATGATTTGGACCTGAAATGACGCGAGCAAGGTTAGCGTAAACTCGCGGTAAGGGAATGCCTTCACCACTTGTAGTTTCTTCAAGTCGTGTCTCGAAATCTGTTTTTGAGACATCAACTGTTGTAACACATCCAAAAACCCCTTTCCCTGATATTGCAGATGCAAAGACCGGAGGACGACGCTGTGACGACGAGGTATTCGGTGGTGGTTTCGGCACCTGCTGCGTCTGGGTCGTCGACTACTGCGTTGACTGAGGTGTTTTTGGTAACTGTTGCGAACGGTGATACGGCTGTGAAGTGCTGCGACGGTTTTGATGGTGGCTGCGGCAAGTTTGGTAAGTATGTCCTGTTTTCTTGCAGAAATGGCAGAAAGGATACTTCGGGGGAAGTCGTTGGTGCGATTCTGGATTTGAGTAAAAACTCAATTGTATTCCCTTTTTCTGATTGCGTTGTGACTGCAGGTCTAGATCTTGCTGTTCGGCTTGAAGATACGAAGAAATCTCAGCTTCGGAGAGATTTGGATTCATGCGCAGGAAGGCGCGCGTCTGTCGCCATTCGGGTCCAAGGCCAGCAAGAAGGACCGTGAGATACATCTCACGAGGGAAGTATCCCCCACTCTTCTCCAGTTGATCACGTAGTGTACGGATGCCTTTGACGTAATCCATGGCATTCTCATTTGTCATCATTTGCACACTTGTCAACTGCGAAAGAATCTTACTCACTGTTATTGTATCTTTTGCCATGTATACCCCCTTCAAGTGGTTCCATGCAGTTTCAGCTGGTGTAAAGCTTGAATGAAAAGATCGGACGACGAGCTGCTCCTTCGGCGATAGGTTTCGAACAAGAACTGTATACGCCCCGAGAGAGGCGTACAAGAAACTCTGCTGTTCTA